CGATAAATTTTGATTGCCATATCTATGGTAGCTAGAAATGTATTTTAAACGAGTTTATGTAAGAACTGAAATGCACTCAACCTAGCACCGAAACTAATTTTGTCACAGCCTCAACAAATGATTTTTAGAAATATTTATAAGCTATCATGCGCTAATATCGAACGTATAATAGTTAGGGTAACGTGTTCCTTTTTATGTGCAATCGGATAAAGAACTATCCCTTGCATTCACTACGTAATCTCTACGTAATAGTCCAACATGGCCGACATTGAAAAATGCATTGCAATTTTTCATAATTATACAGTGATAAATCATAACAATTAAATTCAGATGGATTTATGAGGCAAATCTATATATTAAGTGAGGCTGCATCATAAACAATCGAACTATATAATCTTGAGTGTAAAATAAAGGAATTAACTATTTTGACAGAAGTCACGAAAACAGATTAAAAACACAGGATTCTACAACGGATAACATTAAGGGAAATGGATAACATTAAAGGAAAAGCTTCCAGAATCAGGAATGATTAAATTGCTGGCACAATACGTAGATTTAAGTTGATGTCCTGTATGTTTCATTAGGACACCGCATGATTTACTGTGTTGACGCCAGTAAAAGCTTCTCAAAACGAAAGTGAAAGTAGAAATAAACAGTGAAATCACTAAAAAAGGTAAGATTTCTAGGGCATTTCAATATATGAGTATAGATCTATATAAATATTAAGAACGCAATTTTATTTTAGGTCTGAAACTGTAATCGAGAGGAAAAAGATGAGGAAAATAAGGAAACTGGTTGTGATGTTAAGTTATTGGATTTACAAAGACAACACAACAGAAAATATCTTTCATATCAATTAAAATTGAAATTTATTGACATGCGCTTAATATGTAATATGAAATTAGGCAATGCCTAATATGAAATTAGGCAAAGCCTATGAACGGGGAAGTTGTTAAAAAAATCCTTTCATTCTTTCCGTTTTAAAGGTGTCATTCGGTATTACATGCACTGCTTCCGTTTTCACTCGGAACACTCGACGATTATTATTAATCCGAAAAGTTGAAAAATTGTTCCGTTATCGGAAAACCCCGCCTTTTATCATTGAGTTACATTGTAAATGGCGGCGCCCGACTAGAACTGACACTGAAAATTTCATTTATAGTTATAGAATTCTATATTTTTTTTAATTGTTTTTTATTTGAATTTTCTTTTAAATATACACGTGTAGTCTTTAGCCGGGCAAGCCAAAGCCCGGACCTGCTTCGCGGGCCTGGTCTTTGACTTCCCCGTATTAATATGCTTTATCACACACCGGTGACGATTTTGCCACTCAGTAAATATGGTATTGCACATCTATGCATATAATTTGACATGACGTCATTAGCGTTATACAAACATTGTGTAAAGACGCACTAAATGTTAGCGTTATACTATAGGCGCGTTAATGAAAACTACTCTTATTTCACTTTAAACGGTCTTTATTTTGTGTATGTGATACAGTAGGGTGAACGTTTCAGTTTACACGCAAAATGCACATTCCGGAAAAAACGCACGCACGTTACATGCTATACAAACGCACGTTACACGCACGCTTTATGAAACGAAATAAGCAGACGCACGCAAAACGAAATACGCTAAACGATATATGCACGCTAAAACGCACGCAAAATATCCTTATAAAATATCCTTATCATATAAATTTTAACAATTTTAGCTAGATCGTTTAGTGATTTGATTAAATGATAGCTAGCCATTCATGTATTTTAAACGGGTTTATGTAAACTGACTTATCTTATGTCCCAGGTTAGAGCTGTAATGATATCAATCCGCGAATGCACTCAACCTGGCACAATATTATTTTTTGTCAGGCAGCCTAAACAAATGATTATTTAAATTATAAGCCATCAAGTGCTAATACATGCATTAAAAATTATTTAACAGGGTCGTCTTTATGCACATTTCTGAAAAAATACTTTGCTTTATACCAGGAATCTCTTAGATAGATAATAATTACTTCGACACCCCTTCTGGCCTAAACAAAATAAAACGAATGGTAGTAACTTTAGCAAATCAGCAATCAAATTATCAAATCTTTTACATACAGGCGAAAGAAATTAATACATGACCTTTTTAAACAAAGGAAAACATACATTGCAGACCGGCAGCCAAACATATTTTCCAGACAAGGGCTAAATCTATATGTTTCAGGACTTTACACCTCCTGGACGTTTCGGCCCTGAAAGTTTCAACCTCAATTTTTAACCACCTTTTTTCAATTTGATAAATATATATAATAAATACCATGCATTATGGGTTATAATATATTCTAACATGACCCGCATTTACCCTATTGAACATAGAAGAACAGAAAGTGTGTGTTATTATGCAACAGATGCACAGTTTGACATTCTATATTTAGACATTTGACGTAATCATTATACACGTGACGTAACCACAAAAAATCTGACGCGCTGAAAATAAGAACGGAAGCAAATCTGAGGCGCAAATTTGCTTAACTATCAAGTACAGCAACATTTATTTGTTGATGTCGTGTTGGAATCGAAATAATATATCCAAATCAGTGATTTTATCGCTTGATAATAATAACATCACTGTTTGTCATTCGAATGTGCATCATTATAATTCCTCGCATCCGAACTCCAAACAATGATGTTATTGAGTGATAAAATCACTGTTTGGGATATATTATTTCTTAAATATATATAATATAAAACATACTTGCAAACATGATTGATATAAAAAAGATTTTCGGTGATAATACGTATAATGAAATTTCCCTGGAAAAATAAATATTAATTTGATTTTTTATATGAGTTCTGAAAAAATTATCAGCTGTAAAACTACATGCATATATTTATTCTTTTTTTTGTTATCAAAAAATTAAATTCCATAAAAAGATATTGATAAAATATGTTTTAATATAAAAGATAAGAACGATTATAGAAGTGTGAAAAGCCTAATGAAATTTAATGAATTAAAGTTTTATATTAAGAATAAACTTCTATTTTGGGCCCGAAACTGTAAGCGAGAAAAAAATGAGGAAAATGGAGAAACTTGTCAACCTCATGCACCTCGATCCATAAGTGCCAGAAGGGGAGGAGTGTTGGACTCCAATAATTTGTGAATCATGTGAAAACTGTAAAGTATATGGATTTACCAAAAGAGCAGCGCATCAGAAAATATGTTTCATAGTATTGAAATTGAAATTTATTGACATTTTATGCACTATATGTTATAATATGCTATATTATTATTAAGGAACATTAAATGCCTAATACCTTCCTTTTTTGTTACTGTCACAAGTTAAAAAAGAAAGGTGCTGCCTCACCAGGACTTTAACCCGGGACCCTTGGAATACAGTTCTGCCACTCAACCGACTGAACTATATTGTATTAGGCTGCTTACGCATCATCTCCCTATATAGTGAACAGTTCGGAACCATTACATATTCCCCTGCTTTATTGAAATTCGTCCTTGAATGGGTACAGTGGACAATGTGAAATAGGACTTTGAGTTTTACACCATCCATCACAGTCCCCTTTGGAATAGGTGATGGTATGAAACTTCAAGGCCAATTTCACATTGTTTTATTACTAACTGTTGGGAGTCAAATGTCAAAGGGTGAGAAAAATATGCAGCCTGACTGGGACTTGAGCCAGGGATCCCTTGAATGCAGTGTCGAAGCTGACTACCGGCTAAGCTATCAGTCTGCTTGCACATCTTTTCCCGTCAATAGTGAACAGTTCTGAGCTGTAAAAATGAAAAAATCAGTTTTACAGTATCTGACAGGGAAGGGACCACTTCCTTACTGATAGTGGATCTGAACACCTCCGTCTGCATTATATGACATTTGCCATACCTTTTTTTGTTTTTCAATGCAATTTGGTGGATTTTTTTCCATATCAATCAAACAGATGTAATTCTTACTCAATATTATAGTAATATAATGCCTTACTTACTTGGTTTCATTTCCTAGGAGGTTATAATAAGGTAAAATTACCCACATTTTTAAAGATGTAATGTATTTGCTTGAACAAATAGGCATCATAGAAAATTTACCCTATCTTTCTTCATTGTCAATATAATTCAATGGGGTTTTCTTATTTTAGTCAATTAGATGTATAGTTACTTGATAGTATAACATTATTTGGCTTTACTTACTTTGTTTCAGTGACCAAAAGGTTATAAAAAGGTAAACTTACCCAAATTTTCAATGATTTAGTGTGGTAAAGTTATTTATAAGGCATTATAGAAAATTAGCCATTATTTCTTAATTTTCAATGAAATTTGTTGGGATTTTCTTATATAAGTCAATTTGATGTAGGTATAACTTAATATAATAATACTATGTTGCTTATTTAACTTTGATTCATTTACCATGAGGTTATAATCAGGTAATGTTACTCCCATTTTTAATGAATTTAAGTGTTTACATGCTTGTATAGTTATACATCATAGGAAATAAGCCATAATTTTTTGAATATTCAATGTAATTTATTGAGATATTCTTATTTTAATCAATTAGATATGCTTGTTAATTAATATAATAGATTTATGTTGCACTTATAATTCTGTTTCATTTCCTAGGCTGATATAATAAGGTAAAAATCCCCATTTTGTAGTGAATTGGTGTTCTATCTATCTTAGGAAATTTGCAATAACTCTTATATTTTGTAATGAAATTTGGTGGGACTTCCTTACTTTAGCCAATTAGATACGTTTGTTAATTAATATGATAGATTAATGTTCCTCTTGTAGCTTTGTTTAATTTCCAAGGCTCTTATAATTAGATAAAATTTTCATATTTTGTAGTGATTTAGTGCATTATCTTGGACATTTAGGCATCTTAGGAGATTTGCCATAATTCTTATATTTTGTAATGAAATTCGTTAGGACTACCTTATTTTAGTCAATTAGATATGTTTGTTAATTAATATAATATATTTCCCAGCAGGCACATCAACGTTGTTTCAACGTTGAATTTTGGTCAGATTTCAACGTTGAAATAAGGTTGGATTTATATTCGGATTTGAAAGTTGAAACAATGTTGAAATTTCAACGTTGATACAACGTTGCAGCTTCAACGTTGGCACAACGTTGAAGTTTCAATGTCATTTCAACGTTGAAAACCCACCATACTTTAATTTTTGGATATAAAGCAAAGTAACCAAGTTTAACAAAATATCAAGACAATATTAAATACTTCAGATATTTTATTTCAAAAATACAGTTCAAGTGCAGCTTAAATTCACTTTAATAGTTTTATCAATTCAGCTTCAATCTGTTCCAATCTTTTCTTCTTGATCTTTCTGGGTATGTCAAGCGTTTGAGTACTTCTTTGGCTGTCTCTAACTGCTTCTGCAAATAAAAATAAGAAGTTTGTAGTTAAAAGTGACTTGGTCAATCTCAAATTATACATATAATTACTCAACTTAGTGATTTGTTCTTATCTTAAATGCTTTTCACTAAGATTTACATCATAAAACAGCATAGAAATTGAAACATAGCTAAGTTTGATATTGACAGCAAATACTGAATATAAGACAACAAAATCTTTTTAAAAAGAAGCTATTTAAAAGTCTCACCTATGATTGGTAAGAAAAACTGCACCCCGTCAGTTCCTTGCAGCATATTCCCAAGAAATAAACATTCTAGGCTCTAGCTAAGACCATTTTATGCAGCATCCTGAAATCAACAAACATGTAAATTTTATATTAATAATGTTACAGGAATATTCTGAAAAAATATATTTTAAGACAAGATAAAAAACCAGTAGTTGAAAAATTTATTCTTTGTATCGTAAAGAAATTCAAATAAATAAATTGATAAGAATAAATTTCAATTTAACAAACCTGACAGTCCTTTTCATGTTGAATGTATGGTATACAGGCTACAGCGAATGTATGGTGTACAGGCTACAGCGAATGTATGGTATACAGGCTACAGCTGCAGTACTCTAAATTTCAGCCAGGACCAGAATCTAGAATATAAAATAATATATAATAAAATAGAAATAGATTTATTATTCCCCTTAAATTTACGACTATTAAACTTTAAAATTAAACACTCAAATTTGTTTCTTAACTTAATAATAATCATTATAATGTATTTTTTCAAACTAATTAACACTGTATTATACTATCAATAAAATATAAGCATAGTTATATATATTGACGAATCGTCTTCGGACGTAAATTAAGTGGGCCGAACTACTTTATAGGTTTCAATTTTAAAATTGATTAAATTCTAAATAGGATATAGTACAGACAAATGTTTAATAATCTGCAATATAAATTAAAGAAAGACAAGACTTGTTAAATCATAAATTGCCAAGGACATCAATAACTTCATGTTTACAAGGCCTACCGAACCCAAATCATTCAATTAGGTCGCGAAAACGTGTCAAATCACCTCAATCATGTGTTTATATCTCTCATTTATTTCATAAAGTAAATTAATGTAGAATTTAAAGAATAAATAATAATAATTTAGAAAATAATCAGTAAACTAAAGTAAAACATAATAGTTAGAGTCCATTCGAGGCAAAAATACAAGAATCGTTCAGATAATTCTACAAGCAAACCACTTTGTATGCTAAAAGTCTGATTACTTACCCATCAGATTTCATCGAGACCCCAAGCTCAAAATACACGTGGTTCTCAAAATTTAAAATGGCCGCCAAGATGGCGGCTGAATTTTATTAAATATTGACATACTCGAATATCTATGTTGAAACTACCAAAATAGGATATTCTATTCATTTTTGTTCAAGATAAATATTGTAAATGAACTGTTTTTTTTAAATAAATTGACTTTTCATGAAAAAGAAGGATAAAATAACAAATTTTCAGCCATTTTATAGTTGAAAAATGTATGAAAAATCGAAAAAATTACCAAAAACTAAGTTTCACTTTTACTGGTGCTTCAAATGAGCCATCAAGTATATCAAACAATCATTGGTAAACAAGTTTATGGTATATTTTGTCATTTTACAAAAGTTTGCTACACCTATGGCTTCTCTTTGTCTTACTGAGGCGACGCAAAAAGTGGGTGGGGTAAATAGATTCTAATGTAAATAATGGTAATCACACACGCTGCCTCTGTGCAATCTCAACAGAAACACTATAGTGAAAATAATAATTTAAAATCCTACTGATGTTAGGCTTAATTGCAGATTTATTTATAAAATGTAAGTACAAATTCTCATTTTTATATATTTAACCTTTTACCCCATGAGCATATTGTGAAAAATGTCCGTTTTCATTTAAAAGCCTCCTGTTACAAGTTCAAACTATTATGAAACTATGAAAAATGCTTCAATACTGATGAAACTTGGCACAAATGTTGACTGGACCATAGCCTCTGTAACTGCATACTCAATCTTTCATTTTCTGTTAGCATGGCAACGGGGTACGTCTCAAAATTGCGAAAAATCACTATTTTGCATTGTTTGTTTTCTTCAAAACTGATTTCAGTTATCAAAACTGAAGTCCTGCAACTTCTCAATGGATTGAGATACAGTAAAAGGTTTTACAGCTTGGTTACACATTACCTTAAGATCGACCTGAGATCATTTTAAGCCTGTCACGGGTCTAAAAAAGTTTTGGTGATGAGGGGGTCTTCCACCTTCAAGCCCCCCGAACAGAAGCCATCCCCTTTCTGGCAACCTCTTGATGTACCTTTTTGATGGGGGCGACGTCGAAAAACTGATCACTTTTTTAACAACATTTCTCATACAAAAACAGTATTTTGGGCCTAAATAGGACATTTCACTGTTTGTGGCCTCAAAAGGGGGGGGGGGGCAAAAGCCGTCAAAGCATGTCTATAAGACGTAAAAAGTTAAATTAAGATAAACACATCTTTTAAAAAGATTTTTAAGATTTTTTAAAAGAAATCAGACCGATTTTGATTTTAATTCTGATAAAATAGCTGTTACCTTTTCTTCAGCATTATAACAGATTGCTCACAACAGCATTTTAACCATTAAAATAAGTATGTATAAGTACGTACAATGAATTGCAAAAAAAAAGAAACCATGGTTCAATGATAAACGTTAGAAAGCCGTTAGTAAATAAAAAGTTTATCTTTCAAAAACTCGAGCGTTGTCCAACATCCAAAACCCTAAAACATCATGAAATATTTAGAGCCAAAGCTTGTAGATCAATTCATCATCTAAGCGCAAGAAATGGAAGGCGTATGTTTCAGATATAAATGCAAATATCCCTATAAATTATGGGATGCAGTTAGATAGATAAGCGGTAAATCAAAAAGATATCCCACTACTTAGTCAATTGAAATCTAATAATTGTAAAAAGGTAAAAGAGAAAACATTTGCAAAAAACTCTTCTTCAAATAATTATTTTAAATGCGTTTCTACAGCATTTAGTTTCTAAAGTTATAGGAGAACAAATAAATTTTACTTTAGAAAAAGACAAAATTCACAATTCTTTCTTTTCTTTCAAAGATTTAGTTGATTCGATCAAGAAAGCAAAAGATACAACAGTAGGTCCAGATATCATTTACTATGATTTCCTAAACACCTTCCACATCAATCTCTTGAATTACTGCCATTTCGTGCCCTTCTTAACATATTTAACAACATTTCGTTTTCTGGTGAATTTCCTAAAAGTTCGAAAGGAGCTGTGGTTATCCCAATTCCTAAACCTGCAAATTACCGTCCAATTTCACTTACTGGCTTCTTTTGCAAAACATTTGATAGAATGGTCAATAATCCCCTGGTATGGAATTTATAAGTTAAAGCAATAATTTCTAGCTTTCAGTCATGTTTCCGTGAACAACATAGTACAAACAATCATCATATATATCCCGAGTTTTATAAGAAAATCTTTAATAAATAAACAACACTCGGCTTCAATTTCACTTGATCATGTAAAACCTTATGATACAGCATGAAAACATGGTATTCTTAAAGAAATAAAGGATGTAGGATTAAATAGTAGACTTCCAATCTTTATTTTACCTTTCTTGTTTATAGAAACTTTAAAGGAAGCACTTCAACTTTTGATGAAAAGCTTTCTGTTCAATATGCATCAACTGGTAAAAGTCTTGCTTAAACCAAATTACAGCTAACATATTTTAACTAACTAAAGAAAGCTAGCCCCTTCGTTCAAAAGATAGTTAAGAAAAACGTTAAGTAGACCCAATGTTTACTCTTCAAAATGTTGTAGGTGTTTTTTACTCTGCACTTAAATTCTCCAGAAGTTCAAGTTAGTCTTTTAAATTTAAAAAAGTCTCCTGATGTTATTTAAGAACATTTTTCAAACTTCAAAGAACATCTAGATTTTATTCATATTTACATATAACGGTAATACCTTCGAAATCCAAATAAATTGCCAATCGTGTTGTTTTCAAATTTTTCTAAACAGCGCCACCATTTGCACGAACGATAATCATAGACCCGCAACAATTACTTCCCCTGACCGGCGTTATTTTATAAACGGGGTTTTGACTAATACCAATTTATTAATTAATATTATTCATAAAGAACTAAAAAATAAAACAACAAACATCAAAACATATTAACTAATATCTAAAACGTTAATAGAAAGTGAAAAATTATTTCCAACATTATTTGTTTAAGCGCTAATTTTGAATATACGGAAAAAGATTGTAACGCAAATTTTCCTGACAAAAATCACTTACAGACTTATTCAATAAAGGAATAATATCACACAATTAGTGGTGTTAAAGTTTATATAATGATTAAAATAAATGTAAAACTTCGACCATAAACAACGTTGAATCAACGTTGTATATACATTGGCAATATATCCGTATGGTCGTCCATAGTTGAATATTGGTTGAACAACGTCACGACCATATTTCAACGTTGTTTCAACGTTGAAACAACGTCTAGTGCCTGCTGGGTTATGTTATATAAAAAAATTCTGTATCATTTCCTATGAGGTTCAGTTTAAAGTAAAATCACCCGGTGTATCAACATTTTATGTGGCACTGCTTTCTTTAATAGTTGGGGTCCACATAGAATTTACTATAAGATTTATATTTTTCCTGGACAATTATTGAAATCTTCTTTTTTAAGTCATCTAATTAAAGCTTTTAATTAATAAAGTTTATTTGGATTGAGTTATCAATTACATTACTTTTCACAGAGATCTTGTATTATGCTCTTTTTAATGAACTGACCTACCTATGAAGCATAAAATTGATATTGTAGGAAAATTAAAATTACAATCAATTGAAATTGTACAGGTCCCAAAAGATATACTAGTATGCAAAATGGGTTTTTGTAAATTTATATAAATACATAGGTGATATTTAAGTATATTATAGTTAGAATTTTATCAGTTATGAGGTTTATAACTTACTTGAGGGAAGTTAAACAAGTGACTTGGGACTACAGCATACCTATCTTACTCAGCTGAGAAAAATCTTCAAAGAATTATATGGTTATATATGGATAGGTTATATACTTTTAAGTTAGCAAAGGGCGACACAGGCTCATCTCGGGTATCTCAAAGGGGTATTATGTTAAGTAATGATTACGGATTGATAAACCTTAAAAGTGATTTTAGATAATATACAGAATAAAAATCAAGAAAGCTATACCGTATAAGTGGTTTTTTCTGCGGTGACTTTATTTCTGCGTTTTCTGCGGTCAGTTTCGGCACCGCAGAAATAAAAACCGCAGAATATTTCTCTTACCTGCTACGAAATGTTTCCTACATTGTGACCTGTTTCGTCTAAAGTAATGTAATAACGACTAGCAGATTTTAACGGTTAGCGGGTTTCGAGTTGTATAAAATTGCTGGCGGCTAAATATGTAATCTGTGTTTGTTAGGATGTTGTTATTGTTAATTAGGCTAATTTAAGAATAAAGATACTTTAATTGTCATCTGATTTACGGTAAACTTCTAACAATTTTATTAAATTAAAATAACTACCGGGGTATATTTTTCACACATCAATTCACGCTGATCAAAGATGTAAATTCTTTCTATTGTTGCTTATTATATTTGTTTGCAAGCAAACCATATAATTATTTGTAATTACTATAGAGTTCTGCGGTTACGACGGTGAACAGATGCGAACGTGTACATGCAAATATAATAGATAGGGTAATGTGACATAGACTTTGATGAGACGAGTCGCAAAATTTAAATCACGTTTTGTCCAAGGAAAGTGCCGCAGAAATAAAGTCCGCAGAAATAAAAACATGCCAAAATTTGTAAAAACCGCAGAATTTGGAGCCCGCAGAAAAAACCACTTATACGGTATATGTTTATCAAAGTGGGTTATATTATATGGACCTCATATAAGATTAAGATATATTTGAGCCGCGTCACGATAAAACCAACATAATGGGTTTGCGACCAGCATGGATCCAGACCAGCCTGCGCATCTGTTCGCTATCAGTGTTATACGGTTTGTAAGTGAATAGTTAAAGCCCAGGCCACATACAAAAATAGTAGTCTATGCCTTGATCATGAGCTGACAGATAGGGGAATTTTGTAAAGGGTGGCTTAGCCAGTGTCTGTTGTGATTACATGTCTAAAAAGTACAACATGGTATATTTTAGCCACCATAGAATTTTTTATCTAGAAAAATATCTAGCTATTTTTATTTGTACAAAAATATAGAAATAGTACAATGTACAATGTATAATTAGTAAAATGTTCACTATACATGATTGTACAAATAATGAAACTATTAACAAATGTCGGTACAGCTGCGGTACGGTATTTAGAGGGTCACGGGTTCGAGTCCATGTCAGGATGCACTTTTTTCTCACCCTGTGACTGACAAACATTTGTATAGCCCAGCTAGAAATAAATTCACAATGCTAAGTAACCCTGGGAAATTCGAAGAAATATTTGCATACACAGTAGGTTTATAACTATTCAGTATTTAAACATGCGGCCGAATAGCTCAGAGGAACTCAAGAGCCGCGGAATCGTATTCCGAGTGTCAGGGGTTCGAGTCCCTGCAAGGCTGTTACATATCAATATAAATCTGTCAAGAAAAATAGGAAGGAACTGTCTAAAATAATTATCACCCTAAATATCATTCGGATCGGATTCGGACAGTCTTTGATGAAAAGTCAGAATATGAACTTGTAAAGGGGGTGGTGTGCTAGTCTGATTACCATCATTTGATGTCTGACAAACCTCATATATATATTGGTACGCATATTAACACCTGTTTGCTGAATTGAATATCAAAAATGTTGCAATTAATTAGTAATTATATCTTATGCGTATGTAAAATAGGATTAAAACTAATTAATCTTCGGCGTAAAGCATGTAGAAATCTGACCAGTATTCACCGCGAGGTCACAAACTTTAAAACTTTAATGCAGGGTCTTTTTAATGTAAATATCACAATAATACTTCTTTATATAATATTTCTATTCTTTGACAGGGACAAAGAACATCTCTTACATGTTTAAGAAACAACAAATTTACATAATATATCTATCTAAGATATTCTTTTACTTCTCAATAGTAACAGACGCAAAACACGGTACTTAAGCACTTAGACGAACGCAGACGCACGCTAAACGTTTCTGGGAATAAGAAACGCACGCTTTCAGACGCACGATAAACGAAAAACGATACACGGAAAACGATAAACGTTAAACGCTTGTAAACGATGCACGCTTGAGAAAGCGTTTCAGCAAACGCACGTTGCACGCTATACGCACGCACGTTACACGAAAAACGGACGCACGAAAAACGCTATTTTTGACAACCGAAACGTTCACCCTAGTGTAATTTGTTGTGTCGAAATCTGTCGACAACGTTTACATTGCAGACACTTAGCAATGGTGTGGACCTTCCGTAAAAACTACAAACTTTTTAATAAATTATTCTTACATAATAAACGTTACATACATTGTGAACATATTGATCTTAAAGAGATTTTTAATTTACATTATATGCAACTATTCTGCTGTTAATATAGAACACATTTGTATTAATACATAGATTATAAAATGACATTTGTTTATCGATTCTCCCTCTACGATGGAAGCACCGTAACACGGACAATCTGCACCGTTTTACGAAGCAGACAGTGTTTAATTTAAAAAAAAAATTTATTTGCAAATAATCGCAAAGTTTTGTTTAAAATGAAATAACATGAATTTTGTCCCAATAAATTTATACTGATACCAACAAAAATCAAACTTTGATTGTGAATAAAATAACTCGCTTGAATTGGTCATTTTTCCAAAGCGCCGATATTTTAGGAGGTTAAATAATAAGTCACAAGTATTGCAAAAGTTACCTTAATCATTTTCATCATTTTGTTATGTATCTTGTGATACAATGTTTGAACAAATGTAACAAAAGACTGTTAAGAAAAAAACGAGGCGTGTTTTCCTTAACTTTAATTGAGAAACAGGGGAGAGGCGCCGGGTTTTATACCTGTCCATACATTTCCATAACAGAAATGATGAAATATTAGGGGCGGGCGTCATGCAAACGATGTGCAATTATAAGATTTGTTAAGTGAATTCTGTAGTTCAAACCATTAATTCTTCAGAGGTTATAAATGCCAGAGTCAGCCAAGTTTATAACGACTTTCATAGTTATCTTTCTGCAGAGACCTTAAATTTTGAAATCATTTTGAATCAGTATACACTTTTCAACCAGTGTTGTATTTCTCTGCTATGAGTAAGGAATTTTACTTATAATACCTATTATGGCTAGAACTTACCGCCCTTGTTGTATCAGAAGCAGTTTTAGTTTGTTCATTTGCTTAGCCTGATGATACAGAAAATTTCCCTGCTGAATGTTATTTTAAAGAGAAAAAAAGAAACTATCCAATCAGTGGATTTTAAATTATAATATAAATAGAACACATCCAAAGGGAAGACTAGACACATATCTTTTAATTCTATTTTGATCCTACGTAAACTGAACAACATTATGAAACTCGTTTATTTGTTCTCTAATATTATTTTGATTATTTTCTTTGCTTCTTGGCTTAAAGACAACAATGCAATTTTAATTATTTTCCTATAATTAGTCCCCTACCGGTTTAACCATAGGAAACTTTTATTTGCCCTTCGTCCGTCAACGAAAGGACACATGTTGGGTACCAAGAACAATAGGTTACAGTGAATCATATTCTTTCCAAGAGAATTGTTGGGTACCTTTATGTTCTCACTGGGTACTTTTATGTTCTTACTGGGTACTTTTAAGCACACTTATTACCGAATATGTGTTCTCTCATTAGAAGGTCCGTACTTTCGTTCGTCCGTCAATCAGTCAGTCAGCAAATACTGGATCTCTTGATAAAACAAAATGTACTCTCGAATATTTTCAGTACTTTTTGGGTTATCATAACTCAAAAAGTACTGAAAATATTTTATGAAATTTGAAACAAAGATAGATTGCAGTATGGAGATTT